TCTGTATTCTGTTTTCCACACTATGTCTCCTATTGTCATTGTATATCATGAGACTCATCCCATTAGCTCATATGGTCCAAGGTTTTGCCTCCTATGCAGGATAGCACCAAGGGGCATTTTGAGTAAGACGTAGAAGATCTGTTTGACTTCAACCTAACAAGGCCTCTTTTAATAAATCTTTGGGATTTATTCAATCCCATTGGAACCTATTTATATTTTCAGTCTGTGCTGCCGTATCTATCATTCATCCAGAAGCAGCAAAGTAGAGTAGCTGAGGGCTTTGGTTCCAGAGTCGGGCAGATATAAGTTGCAATTGTAGCCCCACTGCTTATTAACTTGCTATATGGATGGTTAGTCTTGATAAGCCAGTTTCCTCATCTGTAAAATGGGGATAATTATAGTGTTGATCAGGTCAGGTGAGATAATACTTATGAAGTATTTAGCACAGTGCCTGGCATGTAAGTAGCCCTCAATAAATGGTAGCTATTTTTATTCAATCAATCAAAGGAAACACATATTGGGTATCTGCTAGGTGCATGGCAGATTGTAGGTACAAAAATGCTTCAAGACATTGGCCACTGTCCATAAAGCGTTTACAGTCAGGGTTGATGGGTGTTATGGATTGAATTGTGTCCCCCCAAAAGATACGTTGAGTCCTAACCCTTGTACCTGTGAATGTGACCCTGTTTGGAAATAGGGTTTTCTTTTGGGATGTTAATGAGGCCACACCAGAGTAAGGTGGGCCTTAAACCTAATCCCTTTGAAATGTTTTATAAAAAGGGAAAACAGACTCAGAGAGACACACACACTGGGAAGATGCCATGCCAGAACGCATCTACAAGCCAAGGAACGCCAAGAGACACCCAGGGCTGCCAGAAGCTGAAAGAGACAAGGATTCTGTAGAGCAGACAGAGCATAGCCCTGCTGATGTGCTGAATTCAAACTTCTTGCCCCCAAACCGTAAGACAATAAAATTCTTGTTCTTTAAAGCCACCCACTTGTGGTATTTTTGTTACAGCAGCACTAGGAAATGAAGACAGTGGGGATAGGGGAGCTAAACACATTCACAATTTCCAAGATAGAAATTGATAAAAGACAGAATGATCATGAAAGGAAGACAACCTCAAGGACAGGAGAATCTTTGAGTTGGGCCTGGAAGGATATGAAGGATGTGGAGTTGAGTGGGGATGAAGAAGCCAACATTCTAGAGAAAGGTAATAAACCTAAGAGTGGTATTTGACAAGGAATGGTTAGGACATGAATGTAGGGAGTGAGACAGACAGAAGTGGGAAGTCAGACCAAAAAAATGAGGAAGGATCAGAATGAGGGTGCATGCTGGTTGAAAATGCCATGCTAAATGATCTGGCCTTGGTTTGATGAGCCATTTAAGACTTTTGGGACAGGGGAAGTAATGAATCCTTAGTTTTCTGTCTACTATATGAAGTGCTACCTTTCCTTTGTTTGTTCTAATTTTTTTTATTATTGTTGTTGTTCCCTTACAATCTCTCAGCTTCCTGGAGCACTGTCCTGGAAAGTCTGAAGATTAGTATAGTTTAATGTGATGTCCTAGCTGGCAGAGGGGCTAGCCTTAATTCCTGTGAGAACTAGAGGGAATGAAAGATCTAAAATGGGATATTCTATTGTGATGGTTAAGGTTGTATGTCAACTTGGCTGGGCCGTGATTCTCAGTGGTTTGGCAGTTATGTAATGATGTAGTTATCCTCCATTTTGTGATATAATGTAATCATCTCCATGAAGTGATCTGATGTTATCAGCCAATCCGTTGTAAGGGGAGTTTCTCTGAGGGTGGGGCCTGCATCTAATATATATGGATGTTCTGGCAAAGCTTGCTGGCTTTTGCTCACTGTGGATCCTGCTTCCAGCTCATCATCATCTGCCCTCAGTTCTTGGGACTTGAGCCAGTGGCCTGCCATATTGCATGTCCAGTCTTGGGATTCATCAGCCTGTTCAGACTGTGAGCCAGCAGCCTGCCATCTTATCTGCTGATCTTAGTTCTTCAGCCCCTGCAACTACGTGAGTCAGCCTGATGCCTGACTCATGGACTTGAGACTTGCTAGCCTGTACAAACGTGTGAGCCATTTCCTTGAGATAAATCTCTCTGTCTCAAACTCATTGCTGTCAAGTTGACTTTGACTCATAGTGACCCTATAGGATAGGGTAGAACTGCCTCTATAGGATTTCCAAGGAGGGGCTGGTGGATTTGAACTGCTGACCTTTTGGTTAGCAGCCATAGCTCTTAACTACTGCACCACCAGGGCTTTCTCTCTCTCTGTCTCTCTGTCTCTGTCTCTGTCTCTCTCTCTCTCTCTCTATATATATATACACACACACATTTCACTGGTTTTTCTTCTCTAGAAAACCCAGCCTAGGTCATCTATCATAAGATGTTCACTTCTTTTCCACCTTGCAAATACTGATAGCACTAAAACCCCACCCAAACTTTATTCAAAACCTGGCAAATGATCAACTGTCTTCTCTAGAGGGTGCCTAAAGTTGAACTTTCAAATACCAATATTTGCATGGCCTTTAGTTGTTGACAAGGTTGTCTTATTATTATTAATTTTAGTATTAATTTATCAGTAATATTGACTAGAATGATGGCTCTAGTTATGGGGCCTAACTATATCCCAGATCTTTTTTCACCTACCTTACCACAATCTCCTCTGCTTAAGATATTTTGAAGCAAAAGGGTGCCTCTGCTCTTGGGTATATATAACACTGTTGGTCTAAAGACTTAGCTGAATGTATGAGAAAAATTACTGGGTAAGGGATTAGGCAGGTACAGATTGTATCTTATTTTGATTTTTCAAAAAATATCACACTAGCTTTGGCTAAATTTATTATGACTCAGGTTTAGAATGGATGATAAAAAACCCACTGCCGTCAAGTTGATTCCGAATCATAGTGACCCTATAGGGTAGAGTAGAACTGCCACATAGGGTTCCCAAGGCTGTAAATCCTTATGGAAGCTGACTGCCACATCTTTCTCCCATGCAGCAGCTGATGGATTTGAACTGCTGACCTTTTGGTTAGCACCTGGGTGCTTAACCACTGTACCAACAGGGCTCCTTTTAGGATGGATACAGATGCATAAAATTGATTACTTTTATTCCAATGTTGACTTTTCCTCCTGAATGAGTGACTTACTTGAATTTGGAGGGTGAAATAATTTGCCACTTCTTCCCAGCCTGACATGGATATCTGCAGTTCACAGAGGGCAGAGTGTAAGGATTTACCAGGGAGAGGCAACGAAGCGCCACTTTTTGGAAAAAGAAAATGAGAGGATGAGGGAATGAGATAGTTCCTTTAAGAGCTTCTAAGGAGGGAGAGGAGGGCAGTGGCGGTTCAGTGGTAGAATTCTCGCCTTGTATGCAGGAGACCCTGGTTCGATTGCTGGCAAAGGCACCTCAAGCACAGCCACCGCCCATTTGTCAGTGGAGGTTTGCATGTTACTGTGATGCTGAACAGATTTCAGCAGAGCTTCCAGACTAAGAAAAACTAGGAAGAAAGGCCTAGAGATCTACTTCTGAGAATCAGCCAATGAAAACCCTCTGGATCACAACAGTTTGATTCCTAACCAATCGTGGGGATGGCACAGGACTGGACAGTGTTTAGTTCTGTTGTGCGTGGGGTCGCCATCAGTCAGGGCCAACGCTACAGCAGCTAACAGCAAGGAGGGAGATTATAACCCCTACCCCTGGTCTAGGTTAATTTGCTTTTCAGTGAGGACTTAATTCTACTAAACATTTGTGTAACTTTAACTTCTCTAATGTTTTTTATTTTTGTTATCCTAGCTGGAATCCTGCAGTTACTAGTATTTTAAAAAATCCTAAAATGAGGTGGGGAGGCCTGGGGATGTTTATTTCAGGATGGAGAAGGGTGGAGTCCAGTCCAGGAATTTACATTCTGTACTGGGAGAGTCAGAAAGACAAGGGAGAGGTCCTGGTAGCTGAGAAAGAGAGTAAAGTGTGAGTAGGGTGGTAGTGGCGGCCGGCATTGACCTGTGCCTGTGTAGGGTAACTGGCAGGAGGCCTGCGTTTTCTGATGCAGGGAGATAGATAGTCATCATTGGCATGACATAAGTGCGGTGACCTACAGCAGGAGCATAGGTCTCTGCCCCTTTACCCTCGGAGGCCCCCCTCACCCCCGCCCCCGCTCGTCTGTCTCCATCCCACCCTACTCTTCTCCTGTCGGCAGCCCCAGCCTGGGAAGCAGGCGGCTAATCAGCCCTTTGCATCAGGCCAGGTCCCTTCTCCGAAAGCCTGTGACTTAGAGGAGGACAGGAAGTCCTCAATTGCGTTCCTCCTGGGAACCCACGCTCTAAGAAGCAGGACTCGAGGGCGCTGTCCTTGGTTCTGAACTCTCCCCTGGCTTGGCTGAACTCGTGGCGCGTGAAGCATGCTGCAGCCTACGCGAAAGGTTCAGTGGATTCACCGAAGGGAGAGGGCCCCAAGGTCCGCATCAAGGTCCGCGGCAAGGTCCGCAGCTAGCTCTGGCTCTAAATTTTAAATCTCTGCCCTAACCCCCACGCGATTCTGCTAACCGCAGCCAGTACTCTAGACAGGATCCAGCGGTTAAGGACGAGTACATTATCTCTCCCCAACGCCCCGCTGTGCTCCCGAACCCACCCCCATTTATTCCCCTCCTTTCTTCTTGAGACTGCCCCACTCTGCTCCGAGAGCGGACGCTCACGCCCCTCCTCTCCCCTCGCCCAATACACCCTTCTCCGGAGTAGCGCCACTGCAAGCTCCCGCGGTCGAGATTCCCCCCTCGTCCCTCGCCAGCCGCCCCTCTCTTTTCTCTCCCCCCCCGCCCCCCCCCACACTGTCCTTCCCACTAGTTCTCTAAGCATGGACCGGGGCAGCGCGCGCTCCGCCTCCATTTCCCATACACGGGCACGCTGGAGTGGGGGGCGGGGCGGAGGGGAGGTGCTCCCAGTCCCTCTCAAAAGCTATTAGCCCACTGGGGACTCCTGTATCCCATTCAGCTCCCGCAGAGAAGCCAGAAGCCTGGACCGCCGTCGTAGGCAGAGGACAACTAGGGGACAGCAGGGATTCTGCCCTCCCTCCCCGGAGCGCTTTCCCGCCAGCCAAACCCCACTCACCAGGTAGGACGGTGCTCCTGGGTCTGGCCTGCGTGGATTGCAAGCGCTCTATATTGAGTAGGAGGCGTTTAAACAATCTGTGCATGTCTAGCCATTCGTAGACTTATTATACAGAGGTGAGAGGACGGCACTTTTAATTGTTGTTGTTATTGTTCCGTGGCCGGTTATCCCAAAGGGAGTACTTGGGTGATCTAGAGGCTTAAACGGGTGAAGGGTGGGAGGGATGGTGTAGGAGAGGAAGGATGGAGAATGGGAGGTGACGCATTTTGATTCTCTTTGGACAGGTGGCCATGGCCTCACTGCCCACTCGGGGCCCCGGGTTCCTTGACTTATTCTCCCGGCTACCCCCGGTGGCCGCTACCCCAGCCAACCGGAGCTCTGAGGGCAATGGCACCGCGGTCGGGCCAGACGCTCAGGCAGTCACGCCCTTCCAGAGCCTGCAGCTGGTACATCAGCTGAAGGGGCTTATCGTGCTGCTCTACAGCATCGTGGTGGTCGTGGGGCTGGTGGGCAACTGCCTGCTGGTGCTGGTGATCGCGCGGGTGCGCCGGCTGCACAACGTGACCAACTTCCTCATTGGCAACCTGGCCTTGTCCGACGTACTCATGTGCGCCGCCTGCGTGCCTCTCACGCTGGCCTACGCCTTCGAACCACGCGGCTGGGTGTTTGGTGGCGGCCTGTGCCACCTGGTCTTCTTCCTGCAGCCCGTCACCGTCTACGTATCGGTGTTCACGCTCACCACCATCGCCGTGGACCGCTACGTCGTGCTGGTCCACCCGCTGCGCCGGCGCATCTCGCTGCGCCTCAGCGCCTACGCGGTCCTGGCCATCTGGGCGCTGTCCGCGGTGCTGGCGCTGCCCGCCGCCGTGCACACCTACCACGTAGAGCTCAAGCCGCACGGCGTGCGCCTCTGCGAGGAGTTCTGGGGACCCCAGGAGCGCCAGCGCCAGCTCTACGCCTGGGGGCTGCTGCTCGGCACCTACCTGCTCCCCCTGCTGGTCATCCTCGTGTCTTATGTCCGGGTGTCGGTGAAGCTCCGGAACCGCGTGGTGCCCGGCTCGGTGACTCAGAGCCAGGCCGACTGGGACCGCGCGCGGCGCCGCCGCACTTTCTGCCTGCTGGTGGTGGTCGTGGTGGTGTTCGCCGTCTGCTGGCTGCCGCTGCACGTCTTCAACCTGCTGCGGGACCTCGACCCGCATGCCATCGACCCCTACGCCTTCGGGCTGGTGCAGCTGCTGTGCCACTGGCTCGCGATGAGCTCGGCCTGCTACAACCCCTTCATCTACGCCTGGCTGCACGACAGCTTCCGCGAGGAGCTGCGCAAGCTCTTGCTCGCCTGGCCCCGCAAGATCGTGCCGCACCGCCAGAGTATGACTGTCAGCGTGGTCATCTAGTGCCTGTACGCCAGGCCTTGGCTGGGGACTCCGCGTCCGCTGGCCTCTGAGGGTGCCTGCCCGAGGCCAGACTGAAGAGCTTATGCCCAGCAGCTGAGCTAAGCCAACGCCCCCAGGCCGGCCTCTTGCCCAGCTGTCTTGTCCATGTGTCTTTGTAAAATGTGAAGTGGGCTTTGGTGGGAGTCTAGTGTTTTGCTTGGAGGAGGAGAAAAAGAGGGGAGAGGATTTATTATTTCTTCCTTCTGCTTTGAAGACCAAACAAACCGCTTTCTCTGGGTTCAGAAAAGTATTGCAGAACTGTGGCTGTCTTCCTTGCTTTCCCTGGCTGCTTGCCCAATGGTGAGATGAAGGAACAATGGGGGTGGCATTTAAAATGGCAATGTTGGCGTTAGTAAAGTTTTACAGGTTGTCTTTTAATAAGCACTCAACTGGTATTGCTGTATCTGATATTGCTTAGTCAGTTTCAGCCCATCAATTTCTAGGATTCCAGGAAAATATGTATTACAGACCTACATGCAGGATTTCAGCATTTCCCGAATAAGACCTTTATATGCCCAAAAGGTTTTCATTTTTAAGCCAGTTGAATTTATGGTACAAACACACTTACAAGCCACCCTTCAAACAGTCTTTCTTTTGTTTTCCCTCCTTACTCCCCAACTACTATTTGAAAACGATGAATTAGTCAATGAAGATAGATAGACAGACAGATAGATAGATAGATAGACAGACAGATAAGAGGAAAAGTTTCAATTTACTTAAAGGAAATATAGGCCCATTGCCATTGAGTTGATTCTGACTCATAGCAACCCTGTAAGACAGAGTTGAACTGCCCCACAGGGTTTCCAAGGCTGTAATCTTTATGCGAGCAGACTGCCACATCTTTCTCCCATGGAGCTGCTGGTGGATTTGAACTGCCAACTTTGGGTTAGCAGCTGAGCACTTAACCACTGTGCCTCCAGGGCTCCTTTTAAAGGAAATATAACTATATATAAAGACAGACATTCTATATGTGTGTGTTTGTGTATACACACCCAGTGTTGGCCACAAGGCAGACACTCTGAATACTCAATGTAAACTGTGTGCCACAGCATTCTCTTGCATTCTCTAATTACTCTATTGCAACGTACCAACAGCTGCCATCTGAATGGTCTGCACCTGCTCTGTGGTGACATACTTGGAACACGGTCAACCCAGAATGCAAGGACTGGGAGCAGTTTACTTATCAGTAGAAAAGAAAAATAAACTGCTGCCCACAGATTGCATAGCGTAATTCCCTCCAGGGATAATTCTTTCCAGGTGAAGAAGTTTGGGTCATGATTGCAGGCTGATAATCCTCACCCTAACCTTCTGAGAAATCTGTAAATGAGGTCAAGCGCCCTGGGACAAGGGTCTCCACATTGAATGTTGGAACAGTGACAGGGGCAGGAGTCTTGGGAACTGATGGCCAGTACCCAGCTGTCGGATCAGCCCCTGTGGCATGAACTAGCCTCTGCAGCAAGGTGGTCACCATGTGTAAGATTCCAGTCTTACCCTGCTCATTACAGAGCAGACTCAACTGTTTCTCTCCTCATGCTTCTTTTACTTGCAGAAATGAGTGTGTTCACTCATCAAAGTGTGCCTGAAAGGAAGGGAAAGGGGATGATTCGGGGGTGGCAAGGATTAAATCCTGTTAGTCCAATGTCAGCAACCACAATGGACGAGTATTTATTACTGCTTGGGCTAGTTACCAATACAAATCTTTTGTAGTTACATGACTAGACCTTCTGCAGGATCAGGAAGAGCAGGAAAAGACTGGCTTGGGAGAAAGGAAAAGGTAGATTAAGATGGAGAGCCAAGTTATGTCTGGCAAAGGCGGTAAAACTGACCTTCAGCTTCATCTACGGACATGGAGAACAAAGAGCTTGGGCTCCAGTAATGCAGCCCAGCCATTACACTAGGTCATTTCCTTGCCCCAAATAAGCTTACCTCCCAGGCATCCAGGGACTGGCTCCTGTGCTTCCAGCAGCTCTATTACTTGGCAGAGATCCTGGTGGCTCAAAGCCAGACATTTTATATTCCCTCAGCGTTCTTTTGGTGTGTATGTGTGGAGAGTATAGGGGATCGGGGGAAGGAGCGGGACTAGTTGGGGAGGGATATAATTAATTGTGGCTTTGTTAGAAGGTTTAACCCCCTGGTTCCTAGCCCTGGCTCCTCATAGAATCACCTGGGGAGCTTTAAAAAAGCATCTATGCCTAGGCCTCACCCCCACAGCACCTACTTGATTTGGATCGGGCCTTGGCATCAGTATTTTCCAAAGCACTTCAGATGTTTTTTAATGTGCATCCAAGGTCAAGCACCTTGAGAATTGTCCTCTTTCTAATGAATCTCAGAACCGTCAGAATTAAACTTCAATTATACCTGCCAAAACCATATTAAGAATTTGAGGTTGAATTCTGATGGTGAGTTGGTGAGTTATCATGCCATACTTGGTGAATACTCTGTTAGCCTACAGACTATGCCTGGTCTATCACATAGAAGCAAATCCTTATAATCAAAATATACAGGTATTCATTCAACAGTTTCATTACATATCTCCTATATGTAAGCCACTGTATGAGTCCAATCAGTTTTTTTAACAAAAGATACCATCATTCAACTTTGGATCAATGGCATTACAAAGTTTTACACCATAACTTATTCCAAATCCTAGTTGCCAGCGTATTAAAAAGATTGACGTATTCCCTGATAAGTCAGATTTGCTCTATACCAACTGTGAGAAGAAAATGACTCCATTAATTACTAGAAAAGCTGCCACCTATTTCTATCGTGTCTCAAACTTAAGTTAAAAATCTTAAACATTTACATGAACTTTATGGAAAGCCTGAAGAGATTCGAGAATTACACCCTGCTGATTAAACACACCCAGTATCAAGTTATTGCAAATTATGCAAATTGGCTATTGAAAAGAAACTAATTAAATTTTACCCTGTCTTAGGTTGGGCTTTCTAGAGAAGCAAAACCAGTGAGTGTGCATCTATATCTATATATATGTAGGCAGATAGATAGAGAGATAGAAAGAGAAGAGAGATTTATCTCAAGGAAATGGCTCACATGGTTGTAGAGGCTGGCAAGTCCCAAGTTCATGGGTCAGGTGTCAGGCTGGAGGCTTCTCCTGACTCATGTAGCTGCAGGGGCTGATGAACCCAAGATTGGCAGATCAGATGGCAGGCCACTGGCTCATGAGCTGTAAAGGCTGATGAATCCCAATATTGGCAGGCAATATGGCAGGCCACTGGCTCAAGTCCCAAGAACTAGAGGTTAGATGATGACGAGCCAGATGCAGGATCCAGAGCAAGCAAGTGAGCTTTGCTAGAACAACCATATATGTACTGGGTACAGACCACACCCCTGGGGAAACTCCCTTTACAACTGATTGGCTGATCATATCAGATCACAACATGGAGGTGATTATGTTATATCACAAAGCAGAGGATAATTACATCAGATCACAAAAATGGACGCTAATCATATAATGCTGAGAATCATGGCCTAGCCAAGTTGACACATAACATTAACTATCACGTACCCCATCTGAAATCTATGTGGGACTACCTAGCTTGACTGTAAAACAAACAAACCGGCTTTAAAATAATCTCTCAGAGGTGAGTCCCAGACAAATCTACACGGGATTATAAGTAGAGGATTTTATTTGATATAATTCATTTTGATTAAACGTGTGTCAGGCCTTGAAATAAACCAGGCATCTCCCTCCAAGGAGTTGCACAGGTAGTGAAGCTGGGAATGGAGCCAGCCTGCACTTGGCAGTAGCCCTTCCCGGGGCTGGCGGGAGACACTATAATCCTCTTTGTGAGCATTGTCCCCGGCCTCACTTTTGGCAGCCAATCAATGGATTTATCTCACTAAATTGTCCACAGAGTGTTTTGATATGTGTCTGCAGTGGTTAACTGGCAATAGCAACTGTAAGAAATGCTAAGGTGACAATCTTCCAATTGCTGTAACCTTCGATGTTTGCTCTGGAGAATTTTCAGCCTGCTTTTACCAGGGCAGCTAAGTGCCACATTTATCTTCTCAGATAGGCTAGTTAACTCTGTCCTTGATTTGCATGCCCAGCCATCTGGTAGTCTTGCAATGCAAGGCATGGAACTGACCTCAAGGGGACCCGGATAAGAGTGTGGGCAGACCTGGGGGTGAACACAGAGCCCATCCCTCACAGAGGAGAGGTCAGTAGCAGTTTGTTCCCCAGGATAGGTCCTCTGTTTCCCTCCATGCGTTGACGTCTTTGCTATGTGTGTAAGATGGACATGTTGCTGACTCACCGAGTGAAGCTCCTCAGGCTGAGGCTTGTACTGTGTTTGACACATTGTGGGTGTTCAATAAACATTAAATCAGTAGTACAGTCTCCAGCTGTGGGATTAATAAACCAAGCCAGTTACACACATGGTGTAACTACATAGCCTCAGATGGCCAGAATCAAAGCAAGGATAAATCATACCAAGGAAAACACGCTACTTAATCTAGATTTGTCCATTCCAGCCAACTCCAGGGAGGAACGGTCCATCTGGGTCTTCTGTGGCCCCTTGCCCCCACCCTCGATAATGCCAGTATTCCAGCACGTGACAGCAAGCTCTACGTTCCCCATGTTTACATGTGCCTAAATCCACAGAGTCATCAAAGCATGAACAGCAAGTTTCATGCTTAATTTTTATATCATCATAAATATGGATCATAATTTAAATGTTAGCATTGTATCACCCATTTCCCACATGTAACTTGGGAAGTTTAAAAACATCCACCCAAACTAAACCAAACCAGTTGCCATTGAGTCGATTCCGACTCACGGAGACCTCATGGGTATAGAGTAGAATTGCGCTCAATAGAATTTTCAAGGCTGTGACCTTTTGGAAGCTGATGGCCAGGCGTTTCTTCTGAGGAGCCTCTGGGTGGATTCAAACCACCAACCTTTTGGTTAGTAGTTGAGTGCTTAACCATTTGCGCCACCCGGGGACTCCTAAACATCCAACATATGGGTCTATAAACAAAATGAAAAATGATCATGTAGATTCTGAAATGTTCATGACAGTTATAAGCAGGGTTTTTCTGGTCCCTCTAAAAGAGAACTTAAAAAGTGGATTTATATACCCCTTTGCAGGAACCTATTTATTCTATAAAGCGAGATAAACTGGTGCACAGATGTTCGA